TTCAATCGTGTTTTATTTTTCACTGATGTGACTGTCAGTATTGATTGTGTTGATAAGTACTAAAGGGAATGATAAAAATACATTCACAATAAAACTTAGTACCTACCTTTTCAGATTTCTCAGTATTGACAAATATTAACCTACAATTTCAATTAAAAATCACTGGAACACTGAAATAAACTGACACACGACTTGGAATCATTGAGGCCTCATATTGGCAATTTAAAATTATTTAACACTACAGACATTAATGGGATATTTAGGTACTGTACCTTGTATCCTATCATTCTAGTGCCAAAATTAATATTTTCTAGGATTGCTAATGCAATCCTTCCTAATACTTTAGCACTGTTGACGTACAAAAAATATTTTCGGCCTAATTCCTTTTAAGGCCGAATAATTAGAGTTGTCCCCTTAATCTCCAGTCGGACACTAGACATCGTAAATACGAACTTAAATTTACCGTGAAGTAATGACAATGGGCATTGTCGTAAAAATAAACGGGTGTCAAGATCACTGGCAGTAAAGAACTAGGGAGTGGAATGATGATAAAAGTGAATACTTCTTTCTTCTGTGTGCGTTAGTAGAGGTATTCAGCCTTTAAATACCAATTTTTATAGACTGCCTATTTTAAATGAATGGTTGGTCTCATGTATTCTGTTCAAGTAGGTACTTTTACAACGGCATGTGTACGATTTATTTAGTATTCAGCATTATTTGACTATTCCGTTGGTCAAGTGACCGTAAGCACGAGTTGTGAATGCTGGTCATGAGGTCTCGGGTTCGTTTCTCGGGTTGAGAAAAGTATTTAAGGTTTTTAACTAAAATCGCGTTTTAGACACGTGAATGTACTGAGAAAAGCTCTACTAGTTTCGAATCACAGAGGGGTTCTTCCTCATGAGCAGCGTGCGCGGTCGCGGCGATGTCGCGCAGCTCACCTATAGTTACTATATAGATATAGTTATTATAAAAACATATGTAACGTTTTTGAAGTTGCACAGAGACCGGAATAGTACCTGGTATACGTCTCATCATCTAACATGGGACGCATAATATAACTAGTAAAATGGGAGCAACTTTCATCCTGGCTTAAAACTTGATACTCATTAGTTAGACCACTAGAATAAAAATGCAACACCAGTTCAAAATTAATTATCAAATAAAAGTAGGTATTTAAAAAAGCACCTCGTTCGACTGCAAAATAAATAAGTGGAGGGGGTGCACTGTATTTATTAATGGCATTAGCTGTCGGGACGTTGAAGCGACCGGTCATGTCGAGCGTGTGTGAAGATTATCACTTAGATTAGCTAGTAGCCGACAGCTGACGTTTATTAGAAACAGGAAGCCATGGTAACTGACACATTGATCTAGCTTCTATGCTGTGGAGATAAGGTTACATTTTGCTTGAATTGTAAAATAACATGTTGTGTTAAGCAAACACCTTTGTTGATTTTGATCTATTTTATATGTTGCTTTTAACGGCGTCTACTGAAATAGCTTTTTCGATAAAATACAGGTTGAAATGTAAATGACTTGTATAAGAAGTTACATAAAAATAGAGGGGATTTTTGGTATATAATTAGATAAATTTAGGTGCATAGGATAACCGAAAAAAGTCTCTTTTAATATGATAGTATCATATTAAAAGAGACTTGAAATAGTGTCGGTTTTTTTTTGTTGGTTCACTAACAATTGTACACACTAGTTCTAATTTTAGGTTACATGCAAACAGATATAAACTTTAGTGTTACAATCACTTAAAGGTATACACCACATTCATAAGAAGGTTGTACAAGAAAAACAAGAGTAAACAACTTCAAATCAACAAATACAACTTAAATTAATTTGAGATTATTAAGTTCAAATGAAACCATAAAACAAATCAAATAAAAAATAAAGAAACAATAATGTAATTCAATGCAGAACATACCTATAAATAATAAATAATAATATACCTAATTATAGAAACTATCTATTATAGAAACTAAAAAGTAAAAATATAAACATTTAATGAACCATTTCACCACCACCACTTAGAGGGAAAATTATTTTTTTTCTTCTCCTATAACAACATCTTCTAATTCCCTTGGACGCGCCGGTCTTCAGTATTTCGATGTTTTCATGATTGTATCTACTGTAGATCCTGGCTTACAAGAATAGCAGTGGTTTTGGGAGGTAATGGCGGGCTTGTCTCATAAAAAAACTTTTTATTTTCTATGGACACCATCCATAAACAACCGAACGTAAAATCAACGGCGCAATTCATCCGTCATCGTGAATTTCTAAAGGCGAAATGAAGCTTTATTTGAGCTAATCCATCAACGGAGACTATCCATCATGCGTGCCTTAGTATCAGATTGGCTTTCAATCTTAAACGTATACTTCTATTGTGGTAGATTGAGATTAAACCTTAATTACATGTAAATACGTTGTTTATTACCTTAACTTTCTTTCGGGTGAAATTGACGGATGAATGTTTCTTGGCAAGAATGTGTTATATTTTTTGTTTGATATTAACTAATCAATAAGTTATTGATTAACGACTTAAACTAATAACTAATGTAGACTTTATTGAAATTCAATAAGTAGAACCTCTAAAATCAACATAAATCGATTAAGATCGTTTTAAGTTATTTTATTTATGTCAACTTCATACAACAAGTGTGTACAGGTCGATTTAATGCCTTGGGCATTGTCTCCCAGTCAACCTTTAAGCAGTGCAGAGATGAGCAGCAGGTGATTTTAAACCTTTATAAATAGGCAATGTTTTTATGTCAGCTGTTAGATAATGAAAAGATTAGATAAAGCAGGGTCAATTTAAACGACCAACCAACGAGCAGGCATGAAGAGTGAGTGTCTGTTGAGAAAGCGAAAGAGGTATGTAAGAATCGTAGCAATTGGCGTTCTATAGTCTCTGCCTACCCCCATAGGAGATAGGCAACAGGTTATGTACGTGTGTATGTAAACTATAAATGATGCACAAAGAGTATATAAGGTCTTAATAAAGTACCCATAGACGTATGCAGTCATACTGTATTACTAAAAAGTGTCTATGTCTATTACTAAAATGAATCCATTCAAATTCAGTACTAAACTTCATCATCATCATCATCAACAGCTTATAAATGTTCACTGCTGAGCAAAGCCTCTTCTCACATGAAGAAGGTTAGAGCATTAATCACCATGCTTGCTCAATGCGGGTTGGCGATTTCAAACTTATAATTAGAAATTATAAGCCCAGGTTTCCTCACGATGTTTTCCTTCACCGTTGGTCAGTGGTGTCTAAATAATCTTAGAAAGTACATATAACTCGGAAAAAGTCACATTGGTACTTCCCGTTGGTAGGTTTCGAACCTGCACCCTCGTGCATAAGAAGCAGGCGTCTTCAACCTCCGGGCCACCACGACACTTAAGTACTAAACTTGGCTTCAAGAAAATTGAAGAAAAAAATAATTATGTGTAAAACTTAAACAACTGTTAGTGTGTAAGTCTCACCCAATTAGGTAGCTTCACATCGAGCCTTCCAGAAGAGAAAAATATTGAATAAAGTATTCTTATAAAAAAATATATACTTGTACAAACAAAATAACTCCGCTTAGGAATATGACAAACAAGAAACAAAACAAAAGAAAAAACACAATGATCACGTAAACTTGTCCTTTGGAAATAAAATAAGTTTTATTTGATCCGAGTTGTCCCTTCTGGAGTTTTGTTGTAAAGCCGCTGTTTTAGTTACGCGGAACTGGAGGGTAAATATTATTTATTTATTCTTCACTAGCTTTTACCCGCGGCTTCGCTCGCGTCACAAAAGGATAGAAGTAGTCTATGTGACATTATACGAATACATACAGCGCCATCTATACCAATACTTTTGTTTTCCCTCGGGAATATCAAATTTTTCCGGGATAAAAAGTACCCTATTATTTAATCTAGACTTCTAACTTTACGTCTGCAAAAATTCAAAGCAATCGGTTAAGTAGTTACGGCGTGAAATCGGAACAAACAAACAAACAAACTCACTTTTCGATTTATAATATTATTATATTATATTATATATTATATATATTATATTATAGTAAGGATAAGGACTAGTAAGGATGAAAGATAAAAAATACGTATGAGGTTAATGCCACAGTCATTATCAGAAGTCAATGGAAGCTTAGATTTGTTTCATTGGTCTGTTGGCTAGTGTTACTTTTAAGCACAAGGTTCTAAATGCAATATTGGGCCAATATTGACCGATATCCAAATATAACCTACATACTGTTTAGAATTTTTTATTCCAATATTTTAATTTATTAAGTAATCTGTATACAATCTTCGTGTATTTAATTATAATTGAATCAGTTTTATCCAAAATATACTAAATTGGTATCAACGTACATGTGATTTCGCATCAAACAAACAAAATCGACGTCGACCTACTGAAATCTCGCGTAAATGGATACACACCCTAATCCCTGCACAGAGAGAGACATAGGCCAAGTTTAATACAGTTCACTGTTTGACAGGCACAGTTTATGCGGACAGACACGCTAACTGTACAATATGTATATACGTGTGTATGTATGTGTGTGTGTACATCTCCTGTGATGTTTTATGTTCCTGCCCGTTTTGTTTTTGTTTTGACAGCACGTCTGCTGTGTTTCACTGTCTTACAGTTCATGGTCAGGGACAATTGTGTTTCGTTTTACATTATTATGTGTTTAGATTTTGGCTGGGAAATCTACACGAATCTGGGTCTATTTTCTGTATTACAACTTCAACACTCTTGATTGAGTGCTTCGAACAGAGAACAATTTGACATAATTTAAATATGCTGCGGTAACGTCACACGTAGGTACGACGACCCCTGCACGTGCTTACGCAGATATTGTCGTCAAGGAAACAACTGCGTTGCAGACTGCGACCAACTGAAAAGGGGATAGTTAATATATATAAATAAAAAAAATTAAATATGCATACATTAATTTCATTTTGAGATCTGTGGACGCCTTTGGATAAATGTAACTTTGGTACTCGATATTGAGTTAGACTTTATTAACGTTTGTCATTTCTTTCTTTTCAGATGAACAGTGAAATGAGCCAGTGATAGTGTTTAGTGATCAAGATGGCGGTGAACAGCCCCGGAGGTTATCCACCCGTTTCTCCTAAACCACACACCCCTAAAAGCCCTCGCCACTTTATATTCCCCCAGAAAAGTCCTTCTATAGCATCCAGCACGTCTTCGTCCGGATACTATACCCCCCAGTCTGGCTGCAGCTATGACAAGCACAACCAGCCCCCTAAATCTCCAATAGCTCACGGACACAGAAGTCCGATGTCTCCAAGGCACTTTAATTTCCCCCAAAAGTCCCCATCCGGCCGGTCGAGTCCTTGCGTCGAGCGCGCCAGCCTGCACTACACCACATCTCTCAAGCACAGTCGTCGAGAGAAGTCCAGGTCGCCAAAACCGCCTCCCGTGCACATCCACACGAACCCTGGCTACGTGTCCCCCAACCGTACGAGGAAACTATACAGTTCTACTTCCACAGTGAGCTCGCCGCGGCTCGTGACGTCACCGAGCATAGTCTCCAGTCACACAGATGACTCCACTGACGCAATGCCAGGCACTCCGTCTGCGATCCTCACGACGCAGATGACGAGGCCACGACGATATCGTCAAAAATTTGTCGAAAGTCGACGTCAGATTTGACAGATATGACCGATGACACGCCTCATACTCGATCGACGAGTATTAGTAGACCATGTTCTCCGATGCGTAGAGGGTCCATGAAGGGAGGTTTGGCGTACTTGGCGAGTAGACGAGGGTCGAGGGAGTCTACCATGTCAAACTGCGACTCTGTAGAAGACATAGGTCCGCTGAACTTCCAGAACACTATGAGGGGTCGTCAGAGGAGGACGTCAAACTTTTTGGAGTTACCAGGTGAGTTTGTCTAATCTGTCCGCTCTATCGATTGACGCGAGCTGCTCGTGACGCACAGATATGACTTTGATGAGGGTTCGCATTGATTCAAACTGATTAATTATTCATTTTTATCCTTAACGTGCTCAGATTTCGTTAATTTTGTATCCCATTCGGTTTTCACCACTTTAAGTTTGAGTGTACTGTGGATCTTAATTTTAATAGATAATGAGAGTTTTTGGGATAGTAACCGCCGGGCATCATAAATGAAAATGAACATTAATTTGAAGGTAAAATTTGAAGACAAAGTATTTAATATTGTTGACTTTTTAGTTAAATAATATTTTCTTATAAAATACATCACTCTATTGAAGATTTTAAAACAAAGAAGCCAAAAATATTAATCTTTTGACGAGATTGAAATGACAAAAGGCGTAAGAAAAATTAATAAAGAAAAAAAAGTAAGAAAACTAATAAAATAAGAACGACCACTTCAGAATAATTTTTAGACTAATATCAAAAGCATTTATTCATTATCTGTGTTAAAACTTGAATTTGATTTAGAAGAAAGCAAAACCCACACATACGGATACTAGCAATTACAAGTACTAGTATCTAATCCGATAGTCATAATTTGTAACAACACAAAAAGTTCCAAAAGGGAATATCTAACAATATCTTTACAATTCCAAATTGTAAAACAATATTGAAAGAGATTTAAGGTTTAAATTGGATTATAGAATTATTGAGAACCTCATTAATAATTTACATTTCATACTGTTTTGTTTAACACGTTCGAGGACAGAACGAGATTATACGTCATCGTTCGAGATTTTAATATCGCACAACGTACGATGACGTTCAAATAACATTTAAATTATACGGCAGAACGTTCATTTCCGATGAATGTTCAAGTAAAAATCCTTTTAAATGTATCTTGTGTCACAACATATAAAATACCCAACTCTGTACTGTCACGTAGGGTAAGTTTAGAACTATTTAAAATAAGTGTCGTTGATAGTGTGCGGTTACGGTATTCACATACGCACAACGTGTTTATACGTCCCGCGCTCCTACATTCAGCGCGGCTGTGTCACTGTGTACATTACTTTAATGCAAATTAATGATTTTACAGTGTGAAATTGATGTTTAATGGGTTATTGTGTATTTTAGATGGATATAAGCGCAAAATAAGACACAAGATAAGCATGTTTGATGATTCCGACATCTCCAACGAGGCGGATCCTTACCTAGATGCATATACACGTTGACGTGATAAAACGATTGTGTCATGATATGTTTAAAACGATATTTCTTCATGGGACACTACGTACTGATACGTCGTATAATTTTGTATAGACACGTACTGTGTCATTTTGAAAACCCGACTCAAGTGGTAGCGTCCTCGAACGTGTTAAATATGAAATTGTAGCTTTACCTATAGCTAATAGGAATCGATCGATTCTACGCTCTTCGGATTATGTTACGCTTGCTCGTCGGTGCGTGGGTGGTTGTGAGATGGCGAGATTATTCCTCTTGTAACCTATTTGCTTGTATCTTGCTAGTGGGTTTGATCATCATTATCAATACCCGTGACAGTCTATTGGATTTTGGCCCTCCTATAAGAGAGTTTTCCATATTTTTCACGCTTGACAGGTTCGAGATCGAAGATTAAAAGATTCAGGTTTATTAGATAATGTTGAGAGATTATTTACTTCCTCGTTGACCGATTGGTCGCAAATGCAATTGCCGGGTAAGGGGTCTCGAGTTTGATTCTAAGGTCGGGCAAATTATCACTGTTTTTTTTTTAAATCAGATAGAGAGAGACAGACTCTCTGGAATTGTGCCCGGTATATGGTTATAGTAAGTGAGGGAGAACCATGCTTCGGCACGAATGGGCCGGCTCGACCGGGGTGATACCACGGCCTCCCAGAAGACCGCCGTGAAACAACGCTTGAGTTGTGCTCCGTCGCGAGCGTGAGAAAAAATGGGTTCACCCCCTATTACATGGGACTCATAACATAAATAGTGTGCACCTCTGCCTAATTAAGGTGTGATGTTATGTTATGTAGTTGTCTTTTTTCGATACCCACGGATTAAATAGGAGTGGTTATCAAAGCATTCCACTTACCGTCGGCATACGGTTTAACAGTTTGATTTATTAGTTTTATATTGTTTACTTGCGAGGAACAAATTGATGAGGTACAGTAGGAAGGAACCAGATATCGAACATAGATTTGGGAATCAAGTTAATCCATTGGCTTCGGTTGTCTTACCATCTGTTATGTACCTACGTTTATGTTGTGTTATTCTTTAGACAATTGCTGTACATAGAGGTAAAACTGATTCAGACAGCGCCTTTATATCTGAACTTTTTATGCTACAGTCTCCGAATCTAAATATTGAATTTGACTTGTTGGCAAGTACGCAATTGTGCATGTCCCTGCTAACTGCTGGATAAGGATCGATTTTTGACATTAGTTGTTTAGAGTTTCTATCAAAAATCGTGCGCTCTGATAGCTGTTATGCGTCAGAGGTTGCTTATGGGACGACGTGCTCCATCGTAGACCGCATCATCGCTTACCACCAGGCGAGATAGTGGTCAAACGTCGGCCCATCAAATATATAAAAAAGTCAGCGTCAGTGTCAGCGTTGACGGTCAGCGTACGGTCAGCACGACACTAAAACCAGCCATATGAACTTGGTGATGCGATCAGATAGCTATGCGTCACCTAAAAATGCTTCCTAAAAGTTCACATATATCTCGTCCCACCAGCGCTGACGGTGCGCATGCCGTCAACGTCAGATCAAAACCAGCCTAATTGTTAGATATTTTTAATAAGACTGCCTCATTGGCTGAGTGGTCGCAAGTGCGACTGCCGGGCAAGGGGTCTCGGGTTCAATTCCCGGGTTGGGAAAATTATTACTGGGATTTTAAAAAATTCTTAGTAGTAGCACGGAGTCTGGAATTGTGCCCGGTACCTATACGGTAATAGGGTTCCCTATTACATGGGACTCATAACATAAATCGTGGAAAGTGGCACATTTTCAACATGGCACAGTGGCATTAAGTGCCGCAATGTGCACCTCTGCCTACTATATAAAGGGGTGATGTTATGTTATGTTTTAACAAGAAAGTACATTATTGACTCAACTCTTAAAGTCTTTCATTTTTTAGTAAGATAGGAAATAAGAAATGTAAGGACAGGAAGAGGCTGAGGTGTTTTTGACAACAAAAACATACAAACAATTTATTTCATACCATATTTGGCATAACAAAAATATTCAGATCATTTATAGACTCTACGTGGGTACAATATATAAATTTGCACACAAAACACACGGAGGCATTGAAATATAAATACCGAAATTAAGACAGGTACACACGAATTGAAATCCTACCATCTTCACTCCTAATGTCGTGTTCGTGTCTAAAGCAACAGGTAGTTCCCGCGTGACGTCATTTAGCTCCACCGTTATATGTACGTTATTACCGCGCAGGTGTGAAATAAAAGTGCTCATAAAAATATCATGTAGTGTGGTGCGACAGTAATCTCTTGTAAAAGCTCACTAAGTGATATTTTATGGTTTGATTTTTCATTTTGTTTTTTTTAAAGTTGATTTGAATAAATTGACACTTATGGCATTTTTGGGGAATATTATTTGAACGTTTTTAAAGATTTTTATAATAGTCGATTTTCTCTAGTGAATATGGTCTTATTTTTTTAAATCGTTGCCCCACACTAGGATTTTCTCCTGTGTCGTGGGTGCGTTTACAAACATACAATTTCACATACACAATGACACCCAGACCCGATGGTGATAGGTACTTAGATATTTATTTTTGCAATAGGCTACAAACTAGAACAAGACTTTTAAACATTTTAAACTATTAGAAGATAAATTTATTTTCACACGTTTTAATAGATACTTGATATTTTCGACGCCTTAAGTTATTCCTTTTCTTTTAATTTTCTGTTTTCTTATATTTATTAACTTGCTTCTATGACCTGCCTCGGTGGTCAAGTGGTCGAAAGTGCGATTGCCGGGCAAGGGTCTCAGGTTTTGATTCTTGGGTCGATCAAAGTACTTATTACTGGTTTTTTTTTAATTCTCAGTGGTAGTACGTAGTCTGGAATTGTGCCCGGTATATGACAATAGGCTCACCCCCTATTTCATGGGACTCATAACATAAATAGTGAAAAGTGGGTGTTACACTGTACAGTGGCATAATGTGCACCTCTGCCTACCTCTTCGGGGATAAAAGGCGTGATGATGTATGTTATTATTTTATTAATTTTTTTTTGATGATAACATAAATTATTTTCGTAGATGATTCCCAACTTAATATCATAAATTGTCTATTCAAAATAGACACACATAGCATTTGACTGCATGCTACTAAATTAGCTAAGTTCTAAATATTTGCATAAACTTCGACGAAGGAACAACTTGCAAGTTTAATCTCATTCAAAGACTAACTTCTGTGTGTACTTAGGCACGTTTGATGTCCATGTTTTTAGATATATACTTAGGAACACGTGCCGTCATGAGCCTGTGGTGACAGCAGTACCTATAAAATAATAGAGGCGTTACAAATGCGTTACCGGCATTTTGGGAATACAGAGTTTGAGGATCGTTGGGGATTCAGGGATTGGGGAGATTGGGGAAGGGGAGGGTTATTAGGCCTCCGGTAATCTCACTCACACGACGAAACACAACGCAAGCGTTGCTTCACGTCGGTTTTCTATGAGGCCGTGATATCACTCCGATCTAGCAGGCCCTTTCGTGCCGAAGCATGGCTCTCCCACACTGTTTCTTCCGCGTGACAAAAACACAATTAATTTCACGTAGTATAATTGATCTTAAGCTAAAAGGTCCATATCTGTCCGTAAGGAATATTATATTATTCTTTTTAATACTGTTTTATAGAAAAATGCCAAAGAAACATTTATCCAGATAACCTTCAATTTTATCTGTACCTATGAACAAACATTTTATCGACACAATCTAAAGAGACA